AGTCTGAGGCAGGAGGATTGCAAGTTTGAGACCAGCCACAGCAACTCAGCAAGGCCCTAAGCAACTCAGCGAAACCCTGTCTCAAAAAAAAGGGCTGGGATATGGCTCAATGGTTAAATGCCCTGGGTTCAATCACTGGAACCAAAAAGAAACACTGCTCTGATGATGTGCTGACTGAGAGAGAGATGACTTCTAATAGGCAGCCTGGAGGGAAGAACAGGCCAAGCAGAGGAATCAACCAAGTCCTGAAAGCAGGAGACCAGCAGGCCTATTTAAGGCACCTACCATTTCTGCCATACATAACATATCTATCTGGACCTGTCCCCCACCTCCATACTCATTTCACTGGTGGTTACCCGAGAGAAAGGACAGAGAGTGTCTCTCATGAGCCAAAAGCCCCAGGAGATGCTGAGTCACATGTCTGGTGCCTAGGAATCTAAGATTGTAAAAAGCTCCCACATGACTCTGATATGCAGCCAAATTTGCAAATCATATGCCCAATGGCCCATTCAAAAGACATATATGATTATTCTCTCATGAAAAACCTCTATGGCCAGTGTGACAAATAGTTTCTAAAATTGGCAGCAATAATCCCAACCATAATTTGTCCCAAAAGGACAACCAAGTCCTTTTGTGGGGTGACTTAAACGTTCTACCCTTACAGAGGTAAAGTTCATGGCCCCACCTCTTGAATCTGGGCTATACTTGTGACCAACTTTGACCAAAGAATGGTTCAGAAGTGATAATGAATGGCTCCCAGACTAGAAAAAGACCCTGCAGCTTCCATTATGGCCCAGTCACTACGCACAAGGAGCCTGATTTAGATTAATAAACAATGGGAGGCCATGAAAGAGACAGACTGCATGGAGAACCAATAAGTCCCCGCCAAAAGCTAGCATCAAGGCCCCAAACACATGAGTGAAGCCGTAGACTGAATCCTCCAGTCCAATCATCATCACTTGGAGGAAAGCAATGTGTCCTCTTCCCTGAACTAGTAACCCACAGAATCATGAAAAACAAAATGGTTGTCATTTTACTCCAACAAAAACTTCTGGGGCTGGGGATGTAGAGCACTTTCCTAGCATGTGCATGTGCGCACCCACACTTTTGGGTAATTTTTTACTAGATAACTGTAACAGTCAGAAATTCAAAACTCTCTCTAGCAGTCATTCAAATGTTTCCTAACTTTGATGACCAAAAACATCTTCCTTATATTCATCAAAATTACTCCTCTTTCAATTTAAGCCCATTTCTTCTTACATCTTTGAAGTTGATGAAGAATAATTAATCAAAATCCCTCTGGCAACTATTCTCATGCTTGAAAATGATAATCAAGCTATCCCTTAGCTTCTTCTCTAGGCTAAAATCTTTCTCCTCTTTTAAACTTACACTGATAGGGCCTATTTCCCAATCTTTTAATCATCTTTGATTATCCTCTCAACTATAAAAGAATCAAAATTGAGTGTCAAAATGTTTCTAACAGATATTATTTCCTAGCCCCGATGGTTCATCTTTTTATAATCTCATTTCACATAGTCCCAAATATGGCAGCACCCCAAAAGTTATGAAGTGTTCTACAAACTTAATCACTCACTAGAATTGCTATGAGCCCTTTTCTGCTCTTAACAATTTACTTTTTTTTCATTCTGACTCCCTTCACTCATCAAGCTGATGTGACACTGCAGAACAGCAGTCAGTTTTTACATATTCCAAATATTTTAAGTACAATAGAAGTCCAATGAGACAGGAGTATGACTCAGTGGTAGAGCACTTGAGTAGTACTTGAGGCCCAAGATTCAATCCTTAGCACTGTCAACTTAAGGGGGGAAAAAAAGGGATAAAAAAGAAGGGAGAGAAAAGCCTGAGAGGTTGGAGTAGGCACACCATTAATTTCAATCAAGGTCTTTAATCATAACTGGGGCCTTTCCATAGGTCAGGTAAACTCTGGTACCTCCTCTATCTACCTTGATAATAAGGTGGCCTTGTAAAAGGCAAGATCTGTAGCACTTGCCTCTTCAGCAAAGGTCTCATTTATGTAGAACCAGATAGGGTGTATTTAACTACAAAGAATCCAACTGGTTATGTAATGCATTGCAAGAATACATTTTTTTCCTGAGTCTTACCTCAACATATGCTTCTAAATAGAATTAGACACTGGTAAAATAGGGATAATAAAGCCTACCCCAACATAATATATGGAAATAATTTTTGTAAAGCACTATAAAAATGTTAGGATAAGACTTCAGCAAGTCCCTTAAATCTTCCTACTAACTTAAAATTGTTACCTGAGGGTTTCAGGTAACACATACTGTTATGGTTTGGATGTGAAGTGTCCCCCAAAAAGCCTTTTTGCATGTGAGACAATGCAAAAATGTTCAGAGATGAAATGACTGGGTTATAAGAGCCTTAACCCAAACAGCGAATTAATCACCTGATAGAATTGAGTGGCAAGTGGAGTATCTCTCTGCTTTCTGATAATCATATGAGCTGCTTCCCTCTGCCACACTCTTCTGCCATGATGTTCTGCTTGACCTCCAGCCCTGAGGCTGAGGAAAGGAGTCTACTGTCTGTGGATTGAGACCTCTGAAACTGTGAGCCCCTACATAAACTTCTCCTCTCCTAAAATGGTTCTGATCAGATCTTTGAGTCATAGTAGTGAAAAAGCTGACTAAAACACATACTGAATAGGTAGCCATGGGCTCAAAGTCACCAACGGGAGCCAAAACCATCTGTCTAAGCAGAGTATATGAATTTTTCAACCTTTCAAAACCTAGAACAGTGGTTTGACCTTGGTAACTCACTTCAGACACTGTTTCTGATGGTGCCAGTCTCCACACTCAGAACCAAATTCAGTCAAGGAACTCAACAATCTAAAGCAAAAGAGACAGTGCTGTTGGAGTCAAATCAGGCAGAATAACTATACTTGGGAGGTCGGAGCTCACTTCATATATTAACTATGACTTCTAGGGGATAAGAATTTCTCAATCAGAGAAAGGGAGACCGTTAGGAAAAGGCATGGAGTGCTGAAGAGATATCTAGGAATGGGATAAGAAAAGTTTAGTGAAGGCAGAGAGGAGAGCATTGGCTGAGAGAAGGAGAGGAGGAGAGAACAGTGACTAGCAGGACGGGGTCAAATTTAAAGCGTTTTTACAAATAAAGCTACACAGAAAACTGAGAACCAATGGCATCCTGAAAAGACAAGAGTAAAGATTAGATTTGGCCTTTAGGAAGATTACTTGGGCAACAATATGAAGAAGATAGGAGCAGAGAAAGATTTAAAGTGGAGTAACCAAAGTATATTTGATAAGAGTCTGAACCAAGAGTTGCAAACATCAAATTCCTGCAGGCAAAATAAATAAAATGTGAAATCTTTGGTCTATAAGATCTTGGAGAACGGTAGTCTCTGTGATCTTTGAAGAGTACAGGGCCTGACAAAATGTTCACAAAAATTTTAAGCCACTGAGCTGTTTAAACAAAATGTCCAGTTTTTTGATCTCAGGTAAACTGAAGCAATGACAGTGAAGATGAAGAAAAGCCACACATCAAACCAATATTAACAAGGTTTAGCAATCATGGGTTTATCATATTTAGAAGACGTGAACATAAAAGGAGCGAACAGGAAGACTCGGTAGATATAATTAACAGAGTTCAAACCTACAGCAATATACACAGAGCATGTGAGACAGCAGGTGAGAAAATGCGTTCAGGTGTGTGCATGCTGAATTTAAGATGCCTTTTGAACACCCTGATAGTTGTCAGATTGGACAAAGCTTGTTGAGATTGCCCAGTTGGCAATAAGAATCCAGATGGATAAGAGGGATCACTGGGCTACTAAAACATACTAGGGGCAGCTGAAGTTATGGGCATCTTTGAGATTCTTGGAGGGAAGACAGAAGGGCAAAGACTTGGAGCATCTCAACATTTGCTGGATTATCAAAAGAGAATGAGAAAAAATAACAGAAGGACACTGGAAACTCAGGAGAGGAAAAATGAAAAGGACTGTTGAGGTAAAATAGCTCAACAGTGTTAAATGCTAGGCAGAAATTAAGATGGAGGCTGAAACAGGGACAATGGTTTGATAATTAGTTCACTGATGAGCTGCAGAAAAGCCACAGTAGAGTGCTCATGGTGGAAACAAAAAGGACAAAAAGCTCATTGAGAAAGAGAGGAGCTCTTCCTCTCTCTGTCCTTACTGAGAACCTAATATGTGCAGAGTACTGGTGAATATGATTCTAAAACAAACCCTCATTCCCAGCATCCCTACCCTGTGCCTGAAGTAAAAACCAGATTCTCCTGGTACTCAAAGACCTGGTAAATAAGCAGCAGCTTTGTGGAAGTGACTTCTAGGCCGAAACCAGCTGGCCAGGTTCGCTGGGGAAAGATGTTTCAGAGAAGGCCCACAGGTGCAAAGGTGAGATTACACAGACCACTTCGAGTAACTATACAGACAAGTGCCTCAAAGATATGAGAGTTTTGACTCTAGCTGAAGAGTTTAAAGGTGAAAACAGGAGGGAAAAGGGCAGGAACCTGAACAGAATTTAAGGGGAGGCTCTTCACAATCCCTCACAAAGGAAGATGGGCACATACTCACAGGTAACACAGTTCAGTATTCCATCAATTCAACATTCACAGTTAGGAGGAAGGTACTCAAATGTGTATCTCTCTTCTATTCACAATGGTTTAGTCTGACAAAACTGTTTCTCACAAGATACAAAAATAACAGAAAAAAAATTTTTAAATAAGAGCAAAAGATGGATGAAGTTGCAAACCTAACATGGTTTCTCAAAGGCTTACATAAACAATGTTCTAATGAGTTCTAAAACCACATTCAGATCCCAAATGAAAGGAAATGTTTCCTCTCAAGGACCCCTTCAAAGAGTTTGAAGGGCTAACTTTAACACACCCAAACTGATAAAGCATTGACTCATTTCTTAAGACTAAGGGCTTCCCCAGTTTCTTCCCCCAGCTTAGTCTAGCTTAAGAAAACAATCTAGGGTTACCTGATTTTTCCTGTTTCAAAATACTGCCACGGCACACAGCAAGCTGCCTCCAATTCCTGCCACCAAGGTTGCTGGAGCCATGTTCAGATGAGATCATCTCAGGAACCAACAGCAGCAGCTTTCAGGCAGAGTGAATGGTGCCGCCTGGGGACGTATCTTTGGTAAGCAAGATTGCAACAGAGCAGGCAGTTTACCCAGGGCAGTGCTGACTCACGCTAGGCAAAACTCCTATTACCCAAACAACTCAGCCTGAGCCAACTGCAATCAACTGCAACCTAGAAAAGAAAAGGCACCCCACTGATTGTTTTAAATCAAGGGCTGATTATTGGGGGGCAGGTAAACCTCATTCCCCTACTGCTGGTAGTAACTCAGCAGCTCCTAGAGCCCTTACTATGAAAGAAAGCCTCCAAGGCCGTTTCTGAAATTTCATCTGAACACAGCCTTGAACTGGGCACAGCAAGATTGCCGCAGGTGGGAGGTTCACAGCTCTAAAGATTTCCCTAGGAAGGTAAAGAAGTCACTCTGCATTTACAAACTGAATCATCTGGGCTGGTGGCTTCAGAGGAAATGGCCCAGTCATTTCACCACTTGCTGGTCAAGTCATTAGGGTGAATTTTTGTCAGCTCTACCCAGGCTCACTATTCTTTTTTCCATCTAGGCCTGCTCTGGTCTCTGTTTCCTTAGACAACTCGACTCTCTCATTAAGACAGAACTACAGCAGGATTCTTCCTTTTTTTTAATTTGCTGCCACATTCTCTGTGCTAAAATAAAATATGGGAGGCTGTGAAAATCACTTAACCAACTTGCTCTTAAGAGAAAAATCCCTAAATGTATGTCAATTCTTATTTATTAGCCTACTTATTAAAAAAATTAATCCTAGAATGACTGACTCATCATTATTATTGAATTCGCCCTGATAGGTTGGAACTAGCACTGGTGTTATGCAAAGAAAACAAAAGATCAAGTCCTTGTTGTTTTAACTTGAAAGGAGAAAAAGTAAAGTTCATATCATATCCTTCTGTCCCCTGTTTAAAAAATTCAAGAATTCTATGTCCCATCAGCTATTTCTTAGCCAGGGCATTTGAGGCTGCTGTACCTAGCCTTCTTGTCTTTCACAGTAGGTCTCACAGGACATGAACTCTGGATGTAGCTGCCAAGCCAACTTGTCATTCAATAAATGTTAGGTTAATTAAAATGTTCAAGCAGATACTTTCATTCCTTTTCACGGGACTAAGTTTTTTTGTTGTTGTTGTTAAATAAGTCTTTTATCCAACTCACAGAATTCTCCTTAACTATATTATTCAAGTAGGATAACCACTCTGGGCTTTTATAAAATATTATAAAATGTTTCCCCCCTTTTTTCCCCTCAACTTCAGTGCTTCCTATTCAGAAAATGGCTGTTTAAAGAAACTTTGTCTTCAGTGTGTTAATTAGTCCTTTTCAAATGATAAAAGCATCTTTATAGCAGCTGACAACAATTATCTCGTGAACCACACTTTTAAAAATATTTCTGTAGTTGATGATAAGTCACAAACATTCTAATATGAAACAACTCTTAGGATACAAATACAGAACCTCATTTGGAAAAAACATGGTATTGTTAGAAAAGCTTCTGGCCCATTCAACATTAGTGAACTCTAAATAAGGGAGAGAATATCCAGACTATAGAGTGTCCAAGAAGTAATATGAAATAGGAGGAAAGCAATCAAGAACCAGAAGCATCGGAACTCCATAACTGATAAGACAAATACCATTCAGCAGGTGAGGAGAGCCTCTGAAGCTCTGGAATTCTGATAGTTTTTATCAGTTTCCCCCAAATACAGCCATACTCCATCCTAGTTCCTTCTTTTAGACCAGAAAGGTTGAAGATACACATCTGGAGCTTATGAAAGACGCTAAATTTGAACTATGGCTTCAGACGCTTCAAGTTTTATGAGGTTATATGAAAATAATGAGAATATGAGATTATGTAAAAATAAGAAAAATAACTGCAGTATGTGATTAAGTTCTTTCAAAACATTATTTTAGGGTTGGGGCTGTAGCTCAATGATAGATAGAGTGCCTGCCTTGCATGTGTGCGGGCGGCACTGGGTTCAATCCTCGGCACCACATAAAAATAAATTAAATAAAGATATTGTGTCCATCTACAACTAAAAAGAAAAAAAAATTTAAACTCAAGTAATTTATACCCAAAATTATTAATAGGGTTTGGTAGTATAAACTCTACCACAGAGCTACTACATTCCCAGCCCTACGTTTATTTATTTATAAATAAGTGGCGCGCGGGTACACACACATACCACGTACATAAAATTTCACCACATATAAAATTTGTATGTATCCACACCCACTGTTTTATTTGAATAGAAAAATGTAACATCATTTATAGCCCACATTTATTTTTTCCTCCAATAGATCTTAGCATTATAAACAAAAAGCAAGTGTCAAAAAGAAGTATTCATTTCTCAGGATTCTGTAACTTTCAAATCCTCAGAAAATTAACAAATATACAAAAAGAACAGAGGATAACACAACCAGGTGGAACTGCAATGGGGACAAGGATCAAGGAGCTGTGTTCAGCTTTCCTGGTATTTGAACTTTTCTTAAACAACAAGGATATATTCAAATATGACTCTGTTATTTAAAATTCAGTAAATTTTCACAATTTTTATTGTTTACATACTACTTTATTACTGGTTCTTGTCTTCTATCATGTGTTAACAAACAACAAATAGAAATGTACCAAAAGCATAGATCAACTAAGAATGGATCTACAATTTCTTACAAATTGTATGCAGTTTTATTTTTATGTTGGAATGTAGAAATCTATATTGATAATATTTTCTGATAGTAAAATTGTACCTAATTAACAGATTTCAAGTAAATCGAGAGCTCCTGTCATTCTACTTCTTGGCTTCCGCTGAGCTTTACAATCTGATTCAGTTTGAGAATGACTAGTAATAAGCACACATCAAAGTCCAACAAATGTTTTCCATCACGTCAAGAAAACTCAAATATCACAGTGAAAGTGGTGAAAAGAAATCTTTTCTTCTTTATATTCTTTCCTCTCCATACCTTCTGTCTACTTTCTACCCCTTGCATCTTAAATGATACTGAGCATTTCTTCTTTTTATCAAAATTAATCTTAAGTCCACTTCCTTTTTCTGATCAAGAAAGTTAATTAGTAAATCTAAATTTCCAGGAATCAGTGGCTGTCTCACACTATTGCTAATTAAAGACACTGCCAAAATCTAATCTTTTGTGTTCAGGAATCATATTACCTTTTTTTTTTTTTTTTAAACTGAAGTACCTACTATTTAAGAAAAATAATATGGGTGCCAACCAAACATTATCATCTAATAAATCATAAAAACTTAAACACGAAAAATGAAGTAAATTTTAGGATAGTCAAAAATCAACTGTAGGGGTACTTAGAAATCAAAAGGGTGCTTAGTGAAAATAATCACTTACCATCTCAGTCCTTCAGATGCTCTGAATTAACAGAAGTGGAAGGAGACCCCAGAATCTGAATTTTAAATAAGCGTCTCCCCCACACAGGATTCTGATGCAGAAAAGAGCCTTGGAGTGTACTTTGAGAGACAGGTGACAGCTACTTTCCCTAAGTGCTACTCAGGGCAAAATCACTTTTTTTCCCAAAGACCACCAAAGCAGAACAGTAGTCACACTAAGCAGGTCCCAGACATCAGTCCCCTCACCCACAAGAACCACAAAGAATATAATAATTGAACTGTTATTTTGTTGGTTGGAACATTATTTTCTTCAAGTCTCCAGAGGCAATTATCCTAGCTACTATTAAGGACTTCAGCTGTCACCCACAATCTTGTTACACAGAGACATTTTCATACCTGGGCTGCAATACAAGGGGCTTAATGGAATTTTTATAGCTGTGAAAAAGTTCACTTGACTCAACAGAACAGTCAAATGAAACAAAGGCAAAAACCTCCCCCAAAGGTACAGGTTGAAAGTTGAGGCTTTTGACTTCCTGATGAGGCAGTTTTGCCAGAAATTCAAACCATGGATGCTCTATAGCTCATGTGTCTCAAGAGTGCCCAAATGTCAACTTATCACCACAGCATCAGCCAGCACAGGCTCACTGTAACGTTTGGAAGCACAAACCTGCTGTATAAAATGGCCTCTCCTGGGAGACAAAGGCTGTCGCCATGGCAGAGATCATTCTATCTTGGGGCCAGAAGGACCAGGCAGTCCCTTTAATCTTTAACGAGCCACTTCCACGTTCAGATATGGGAACTGGCGATGTTCAACCTGCTTCACAGCACTCTGCTGCAAAACAACCCCCGAGTGGCATGATGGTATGCCCACCAAATCTGTCCCCGCTGGTACAGTTACCAGAATCTGTTCTATAATGTAATTGTGAGCACTTTATTATCCACTATGGTATAATACTTCATATCTCAAGAAAGGTATCCAATATCAAGAGCCTAGCGATTGCCCACCTCAGGCACAATGAAATAGTAGGTTCCTGTATGTCAATATTTGAAAAAGTAGCATACAGGCAGGAAAGGGAGGAATCCAAAACTGTCAAGACAGTGTCTGAAGACCCGATGACAAGGCTGAGAGAAAGGAAGTCAGCGATGTGATCAAATTGCTATCTTGCTATTTATTTCAGAAAACTGGCAATGGAAATCTTGGAACTATTTGATGGGTGTAATTTTCTACCCAAGGCTATTTCTTAGTTTTCTTCATGAGCTGCTAATACAGAGAAAGGGCAGGGAAAAGGCCCCCATCATCAAACTCCATCACCTAAACAACTGTTAACAGCTTCAAATGAAGTGACCTAGGCTCGTGTCCTATTACTTACCTGCCTCAGTCACCTTCCTCTCAGAATAAAGATTCTGTAATTCAGCTTTGAAGTTTTCCTGAATTCTTAATAATTCTTTACTATATACCTCTGTATTCTTCTCCTCCTTCTTACACACATGCCTTGCTTCCAATAAGTCAAACATTCCAAATGTTCACCCCGATTTCCACTAAAAATGTCATAGGATTAAGTTACCTTTGTCTCTCTCATCCCCCAAATCTAGGGGGCCTTTGTCAACATTGTGAAGGGCGATTTCTAGCCAAGTAGAGAAGATTACCTGTTCACCCACAGTTCATCTTCAAACTGACTTCTG